GCAGTTTTGAATATATTTAACTCCAACTATAGGCTGAATTCCAACTTCAGGATCTTATTTAAGGAAAAGGCTTAGAGTCTCACTCTACAAGGTAGAAAACACATTCGCTCATACCTTTTATTGTGCTAATTAATACATATCCATTTATATGTTGCTTCATACATAGGATTTTTATATAATTACGGTGATAACTACGATTTTGTATTCTGTATTTTAAACTTAGCGTTATATCATAAACATCTTCTGTCATTAAAAACTTTCACTGGTGCGAGCACTGCACTACAAGTATTGATGAGGACTCCTATGCAAGGGATGTTCTGCTGTCATCCTCTTTGGCTCACTTCTCACTGGCCTCTGGAACTGTTCTCCAGTCTTTTCTTGATCTGTCCTCGCCCCCCAACTCCCCCAGGTTTCTGTGACTCCACAGGCCTGGTTACTCTAATGTCTCCCCTGTTGAAGCTGTCAGGGGACTTCTTTCCCTGTCCCACCCCTACCTGCTAGAGTTCCTGGAGACATGGCCCCTCCTCCTCATTTTATACTCTCTCCGAAGATGACCTCCGCCCTCCTTCAGGCTCCAAGTATAACCTACACCATGATGATTCACACATTTCTTCCACCCCAGACCTGTATGCCTGACCGCTGGCTTGACCTTCCCCTTGGAAATTTTGGGCAGTTCCAAGCCTACCTGTCCACAAATGAACTCAGGATCTCCCACAGGCCTGGCCCTCTTCCAGTCTCAGCCTACAGAGCACCACCATCCTCTCTCCTGTTCTCAAACCAGAAACCCAGGAGTCATCCTTGACGACTCATCCCTCCTGCCTGCCCACATGCCACACTCCCCCACCCCCATCTAGCCAAATTGTGGCCAGATCCACCAGTGTTTCCTCCTAAGGTCTCTTTCAAATCTACCCACTGCCCTCCATTCCAACCACCAGGGTCAGCATGCAGGGGCGTGCACTGCACAAATGCTACCACCTGGGCCATCACTTCTGGCCTGTTCTACAAGAACACCTACCAACTCATCCCCTTCGCTTTTGGTCTTTCCAGGCCATTATCTAACCCAAAGCTACAGTGATCTTCTTAAGATGCACATCTAATCATGCTGTTCCTTTGCATAATTGCTCTTAGGGCTTAGACTGGCCTGCATCTCCCTGAGTCATCACTGTTATGTTCTCCTGGTTCCCCTGTGTGGCCTGGTCTTCTCCTACATCTTCTGCTGCATTCTCCAGCCACTGAGGCCTTCCTACAGCTACTCAAATGTGCCACACCCCTTCCCCACATGGCCTTTGAGCATGCTCAGTCCTCTACCTGCAGTGTTCTTCTTCCCCTGTCCTTAGATCTCTTACATTGTTTTTATATCTACAAGGGATTCTGAAAGTGTGGTCTCTTAGCAGCATTTGCATAACCCAGAAACCTGTTAGAAAAGCAAATTCTTCTGCATTGCACACCTACTATATCAGAAACTCTGGAGTGGGGTCCACAAATATGTTTTAACAAGCCCTCCGAGTGACTCTGATGCATGAGTAAGTTGGAAAGCCATTGGTCCAGAAAGGCCTTCGTCACCCAAGGTTTCTTCTGAGCTTTTTGTTTCATTTGACTCTTTTTGCTATTTAGTATAAAGACCAAAACTGCATAATTTTTCTCCCAAATCTCCATTGATTTATCCTATATTCCTTATCTTATATCCTATACTGCTTTTCATAAACATTAAGGTTTGCCTCTGTGTTTTTTTAAAAAAAGCTTTATTGAGATATATTTCATATACCTTAAAATCCACTCATTTAAAGTGTATAGTATAGTTTTCAGTATATTCAGAAAGTTGTGCATTCATAGCTGATTTTAGCTCTTTGCATCTTCCTGTTTTCTTGGTGAGTCTAGCTAAAGGTCTGCCAATTTTGTTGATTTTTTTTTAAAGAACCAACTTCTGGTTTCACTAATTTTTTCTTTTGCTTTTCTTTCCTTTCTTTTATTTATTTCTGCCCCTAGTGTTTATTATTTTTTTCCTTTAGCTCACTTTGAGTTTAGTTGTTCTTTTTCTAGTTCCTTAAGATGGAAGGTTATTAATTTGAGATGTATCTTCTTTTTAATGTAGGCATTTACAGTTATAAATTCCCTCTAAGCAGGGCTTCCCTGGTGGCGCAGTGGTTGAGAGTCTGCCTGCCGATGCAGGGAACACGGGTTCACGTCCCAGTCTGGGAAGATCCCACATGCCACGGAACGGCTGGGCCCGTGAGCCATGGCCGCTGAGCCTGCGCGTCTGGAGCCTGTGCTCCGCAAAGGGAGAGGCCACAACAGTGAGAGGCCCGCGTATCGAAGAAAAAAAAAAAAATCCCTCTAAGCACTATATTAGCAGCATCCCATAAGTTTTGGTATGTTGTGTTTTCATTTTCATTCATCTCAAAAGTCTTTCCTAATTTCCCTGTGATTCCCTCTTTCACCCACTGTTTGTTTAGGACGTTGGTTAATTGCTACATATTTATGAATTTCCCAAATTTTCTTCTGCTGTTGATTTCTAATGATCTCTAATTTCATTACATTGGTCAGAGACTATACTTTGCATAATTTCAATCCTTTTAAACTTACTGAGACTTGTTTTATGATCTTACATATGGTCTATACTGGAGAATGTTCCATGGCACTCGAGAATAATGTGTTGTTGGTGGAGCGTCCTATGGAGGCCTTCAGGTGTACTTGGTTTATAGTGTTGCTCAAATCTCTTATTTCCTTTTTGGGCTTTGGCCTAGTTGCTCTATCCATTATTGTAAGTGGGTTATGTAAGTCTCCAATTACTACTGAATCATCTCCCTTCAACTCTGTCAGGTTTCACTTCACATATTTTGGGGCTCTGTTGTTAGTTAGGTCCATGCATGTTTAAAATCATTACATCTTTCTAGTAAGGTGTAATTATAAATAATTAAAATAATTACAATTTATCATTATAAAATGTCCCTTTTGTCCCCACTAACAATTTTTTTTTTGTCTTAAAGTCTATTTTTTTGATATTAGTAAAACCACTCTAGCTCTCTTTTGGTAACTGCTTCCATGGTATACCTTTCTCGATCCTTTTAGTCTTTGAATGTAAAGTGTGTCTATTGCGAACAGCATATAATTGGATTTAAAAGAAAAATACATTCTGCCTCTTTTGATTGGGGTATTTAATCTACTTACATAATATACTAACCCAATAAGGCAAGATTTGTTCCTGACATTTTTGCTATTTGTTTTTTGAATGTCTTAGATCTTTGTTGTTTTGTTACTGTTACTGTCTTCTAAATAGATATTTTCTAGTGTACCTTTTAAATTCTCATTTCTTTGTGATATTGTGATTTATAATAATATACATTATTTAAATATAAATATTAAATTATTAAATATACTTATTCTCTCCCAGTTCCAGGCACAGAGTTCCTAAAACCCTTGGAATTTCCTAAGCGATGACAACAATAACAACAACAACAGCAACAACAACGTGTGTCTTTTGTTATGTTAATGAGGCGACTTTTGGAAAGCCCTTAGGTAACCTAAGGAAGGGGACTCGTTGCCAGGGCCACCAATCAAGTGATTAGAGGGTTGGGAACTTTCAGAACCACCCCTGGACCTCTGGAGAGGGGAGAGGGGCTGGAGATTAAGGTCAATCACCAATGGCCAATGATTTAATCAATCGTGCCTATGTAATGAAGTCTCTATAAAAACCCAAAAGAAAGCAGAAACTGACACACCAGCGTAAAGCAATTATACTCCAATAAAGATGTAAAAAACAAAAAAAAACAAAAGGACTGGGTTTGGAGAGCTTCCAGATTGGTGAACACATGATCTGGGAGAGCGGCGTGCTTGCAAAAGGCACGGAGGCCCTATCTTCCTTCCCACGTACGTTGCCCTGTGTATCTCTTCCATCTGGCTGTTCCTGAGTTATATATACCCTTCTATAATAAACCAATAACCTAGTAAGTAAAATGTTTCTCTGAGTTCTGTCAGCCGCTCTAGCACATTTATCAAACCCACGGGAAGCTCCAATCTATAGCTGGTTGGTCAGAAGCACAGGTGACAACCTGGACTTGTGACTGGCATCTGAAGTTGGGGGGCAGAGCACTTAACCTGTGGGATCTGATGCTATCTCCAGGTAGACAGTGTCAGAATTAAGCTAAACTGCAGGACACCCAGCTGGTGTTGGAGAATTGTTTGGTGGGGGGTGGTGGAAAATCCACACATTGAAACTGTGAGCAGAATCGTATTTTTTTTACTACAACTTTTAAAATTTATTCTTAGTGGCTGCTCTCGGGATTACAATTAGCATCTTTAAAAAATCTGCTTTGGAAACATACCCACTTAATTTCAACAGTGGGTAGTCAAGACTTGCTCCAATATACCTCTGTTCCCCTCACACTTCTTTCATGTTATTACTGTCATACAAATTACATCTTTATACATTCTAAGTCCATCAATACAGTTTTATAAATATTGCTTTACGCAGCTATCTTATAAAACAGATAGGAAAGTTACAAACAAAAGTACATTTATATTGTCTTCTATGAAACTTACGTAGTTACTTCCACCAGTGCTGTTTATTTCTTCACGTGGTTTCAAGCCTAACGTACTTTCATTAAGCCCTGAGGACTCCTCCTCGTAGGCAGGTCTGCTGGTGATGAATTCTTTACTTCTTGCTTATCTGAAAATGTCTTAATTTCTTCTTTAATTTTGAAGGAAGATTAAGCTAGGCATAGAACTTTTGGTTGAAAGTCTCTTCTTCCAGCTCTTTTAAGATACCATTCCACTGCCTTTTGGCCTCCATGCTTTCTGATGAGAAGTAAACTGTTAATTTTATTAAGGTTCAGTAGTTTCTCTTAACAGATGATTTTCAGCTCACGGCAAAGCTTTGGTTAAACTGTCGGAGTTCTAAAATTCTTTGATTTTAGTTGTTTTGCCCATATTTTCACTGTTTTAGAGGGAGAGTGAGTTCACTGAGGTTCTCACTCTGTCATTTTGGAAGCTGATCTCGTTTCATGTTGTTTGAATTATTTTAGACAACATTCTTTAATATCTTGTAAAGCAATTTTCCTTGAATAATTATTTTTCTAGAATCTTGTAACTATTCTTACCTGGCTAGCTTTTCGGCAGAATTTTAGAATCGCTTGCTCAAACTCCAACAATAACTTCCACTGGACATCTAGAATGCTATTTTTCAAATAGCTCACCTTCTAAGAATATTCAAGCTTCCCCATCTCTTCTACTTTAATACTGCTCAGCAAACATTTAATTTTTTTCATCCAGATTCCACTGTATTTTTTTCCCCTAGGCATTTAAAATTTTCTGCTGTGACTGTGAACTGAGATTAATATACCATGTTATTTTTTTTTTTAATATAAAGCAAACACTTCCTGGGTGGCAGAGGGAGGAAAAACTGCTCATTTATGTGCCTAGAGTTAATGGAGTCAGGAGGGCTCATTCTGGTGGTGAGAGGTTTGCTTTTGTTTTTTTTTCTTTGAAGCAACAGAATATCTTCGTTCAAATTAAATCTTGAGCAGAACCTCAATGCATAAAAAAATAAAGGCAGCGGTGCCCGGTTGAAAAAGAGGTTGAGGGACGGTCCAAAGCCCAGCATGCACTGCCGCCTGCCCTGCTCCTTACGGCAGCCCCAGAGGGGTCTTCCTACAGCTGTGTGCCCAGTTAGCTGTCACAAACAGGAGCCCATCTGTGCGCTCCTTAGCATGAGCTCTTGCTTTTTAATACTCTGCTCTCATTTAAGGTTTGAATAGAGATTTTCCATCTCTACTCAACGACCATTAACACATCTGAGCTTCAGTGAGCTCCTGCCTCACTGGCCTGGACCACTCCCATCTCTTGTCTGTCTCAGGGGTCAACAGGAGACTGAACGCATGCTTGAAGATGTGGTGACTTCAAGAACATCTGATTTCATCCTATGGCAGAGAGAGACTCTATCACTTAGAAATAAATAGAGTGCCCAGTTTTCAACTAAATGAGTAAGTAGATTATATTATTATGAACTTTACTTCAGCAGAGAATAGAGGAGGAATATGAGGAGGAGATGGGTCTGACAGGGCTTAGAACCACGGGACTAGAAGCATCTTTAAAATAAGCGCTCAAAAGAAAATGTGTGGTCCAAGTCTTCACAAAAGATATTTTACTAAAATTTTAGGATAAAGGCATTTTTTAAATAACTATAATACTTCTTAAAAACTACTGAGTATTTAGTGATGTTTTCAACTAGGAAAGAACTTGAAACTTAAAGAACAGATTGCAGAAAGTAGCTAGGGCTACAAGAGTGAAAGAAGATGGAAACCTGCTATATGTGTAGTGATGAGAGGCTTAAACACTTACTTTTCAAACCAAAACCAAATTGTATGCATTGTTTCACTAATTTGTGAGACTAATTTGTGAGACTAATTATTCAGTGACATCATATGACAGTTCCTCTTACAGAAGAGAGATTTTGCTCTAATCCAGCTCACATACTACTTTCTATGGCAATCTGCATGGGAATGGAATGAGATCTAGTACAGTTTTAGATCCAAATCAGTTTCTAAAGAGTTGGTACTAAATGAATATTTAAAGAAATCTATGTAGTATTTAAAATAATTGAGAAAAAATAAAAAAACTGAGAATTATGACAAATTACTTTCAGGAAGTGTTATCTTAAGATGTAAGAAAGGGATGAAGATCTCAGAGGAAGCAGATACACTGACCTCAGGGTAGTACAACTGACAAAGGCCAACAGCCCATGACAGGGGAAAAGGAACAGAAATTCACTCTGCACGACACTCCCATGGTTGGCATTCTAGGCAGTCTTCCTAATTATAATTCAAAACTAATAAAGGTTGTGTACTTCCCCCTCAAAATGATTTTCTTTCAGAAGTAAACTCAGAAAAGGGACTGAGTTCTGGAAAGAGACAGTGAGGCTGAGTCCCAGGCACTCAAAGCGTGGCTGCTGTCTCCTGAGCCTAAGGATGTGACTTGCGTCCCCTTACACCCTTCTCTATGTGAAATATAATTTGTCCTTGGAAAAATCACAGTGGAGTCTGAGAACCTTCTGGGGCAATCAGTTTGTGTCCTTCGGTATCCTAAATTCAGATAATCTCAACATCCAGATATATCCTTTGATTTGTTCTTTCTCTGATATCTTGTGTCCTTGGGATCAAAGCCTCTTTCGCTGGCACCAAATAACGCCCAGTGAGGAGTTCTGGCCATGTAATCCTTGGCACTGAAAGTTCTGGATCCACCACTGTCTTCATATTCCTGGATGAGCTCCTGGAAGCGGCTGTAATCAATCCACGTCCACCATTCTCTGCCAATCTTAAACTGGCAAGAAAAAAAGTAGTCAGGTCAGAACTCAAAACACCCATAAAAAATGTCAAGTAAGCATCAAAAAATCAAAAATGAGCCTGATACTTTTTCCCTATCACGTTAAAGAAAATTCTTTTGCGCTCCAGATATGGTTCCGTATCAAAGCAGAATGTTCTATACACAGTCAAAGGAGAGTTTCTTTTCCCTTAGGACCACTTCCGTGCTGGACCTGGAAGACCCAGTCGCTGAATAAAGAATACATCCTAGAACTGAAAGTCAAGGATGTGTTTATCTTGAGCAGTATCACTGGAAGGAGATTAATGACGTTTTCGGCATTATCATGTGTCAAGCTAATTCAGATTCCTCTTGTTGCCAGTTTTCCCTGGTATGAATTTTCATGCTTGTGTTAGCAGCACCTAGTGGAATCCCTTTATTACTAAATTTTGCTTGAGTTATTAGTGAAGCTTTAATTGATGCCTTTCTAATTCTGAAATGCTAACTTAATGACTCAAACTGGCCCTTTTAGCCTAACATGAATACAATATCTCATTAACGGAAAGCCCTGTTAAGAATTTCAATTCAATAAAGGGGAATAATCCAATTTGTACTCTTTTAAGAAAATTGCTTCTCAAAAGTCACTGTAGAATAATGATCCCGAATGAAGAAAAGACAATGTAAGTTGAGGAGGCTCTGAAGGAACTACAAATTGAACTGTGAAGGCTTTTAATTCAAAGCAACCACTTGGCATTCAATCGTGTCAATGTATAATACGTTGATATTTGATTTATAAATGGACAAATCTTTGTTATGCCACCGTTTTTTAAAAAAACCTGATTATGAACCGAGGTAAGTAACAATTTCATGTCCTAGCTGAGAAAAATATTGAAAATATTTAGGTTCCTGGATTTAGAATATTAAAATATGCTGTATTTAAATAACATCTAATTTTTTACCCAACAGCTAGGAGCTTTCTAAGGGAAAAGATGCCACATAAATGGGAAAGTTTAGTCTACCTATGAATCATGAAAAATTTTCTTCTAATAAGACCATTCCTTGAAAAGTTGCCCTAAGAGCTCTATGAATTCTACAACTCAACATGTAAAATCCACATTCCCCACCATTTTCCCTCTCAAGGCTGACTGCTCTCAAATGTTCTCTACCACTAGGAAAGTAATCACTGTCATCCCCGGGTGCTGAACCTCAAAACTAGAGTCAAAGGTGTCCCTCCTTTCCCTGGCCGCTTACACCCCAAACATGGTCAGGCCTTATCAATTCTTCCTTAGCTGTACTTCCAAGGCCACATCCTGCCACTGCCCTAAGGCAGGGCCTCACTTCTAGAAGTCGGCAACAGTCTGCCGGCTGACTGACTGTCTGATTCCAGTTTGGGCTGCTTCCAGCTTCTGCAGGCTGCAGTAGATGGCTATGCCTACAGCAGAATAGAGCGCCACCACCTAGGACATGCCATCTAAACGTCACCTCTCCAACTGGAGGCTGCTCATGAGCTACCCGCCCCCTCTGGTGACTCCTATGTTGTTACCTCTGTTTGATTAACACCTACTACTTAAGCCTCAAATCTCTTCATAAATGTCCTTTGCTCTGGGAAGTCCTCCTGAATCCCTTTAGACGACCATGACAGTCCCCTGCCACAGGCCTTCACTGCACCCTGAACTCGCCCAAAAAGAGCACATTATACTTGCTTCTGTAGCCACTTCCCCCGTTCCCCCTGCATCCTGCCAAGGCTGCTGGTTTCATGACTATTCCTGACGTATTATAACCTCTTCCTCCTTACCTCTCTTAATAAAGCTAGAAGTCCATACAATGAAAACATTTCCACCTGTTCTCCTGACATCTTGAGAGACAGGATGGAATTTTGTTGCTCTTGGCTCCATAGAATAGTGTGGACTCTGTTCACAGTGCACTCATGATAGAGGGCACAACGTTCACACGTGACTGGAAGTGGGCTTACTTCCCAACCAGTGCAGGATTAAACATGTCATTAACTCGGATGACAGTAAAACAAGGCCGATAACAATGCCTACCTTTTATTCCTCCCTCCTACTAACATTTATGGAGTGCCAACTATGGACGTGGCCCAGTCACAGACAATTAAAAACTAGTTATAGTATAACATGGTGTGTGCAGTGAGCGCGCTCTGGGAATGCAGAGAAAGGTGGTAAATCACAGCCAGCCCCCAGGAGCTTGGCCCCACTAAGAAGAGTCCTCCTGGGGGTTCCCTGCTTCGCTTGCCGAGTTACACAGATACCATGTTCTCCTCTTCCCTGTGTCTTTCCATTTTGGGGTTCAGAGCTCTAGGTCTGAACTCTGAACCCTCAGTGTCCACAATTCTGGTCTTCCTTTTCCCTCAAACTCTGACGAGAATCACTTGCCATGGATATTCCAAGAGGAACTAAAAGATTAGCTTGGACTACAGCAATAGATTTAAAATCTTTTTTCTTTGCCACAACCTACAGTAAGAAACATATTTTACATCTTGATCTAGTATACACATTCACATACACATACTCTGGAAACACAACTTTCACAAAACTATAGGCAACGTATTTCATTTAAAAACTGCCAGCTGCAACCCACTGCACTGATTTCCTAACTCCTGACGCAGCCTGAAGATCTGGGCTCCCAACTACAGAGCTCTACCCTGGCTTAAACCTAACGCAGCCTGAAGATCTGGGCTCCCAACTACAGAGCTCTACCCTGGCTTAAACCTGATGCAGCCTGAAGATCTGGGCTCCTAACTACAGAGCTCTACCCTGGCTTAAAACAGAAGAAATTAGTTGCATGGATATGACAACTATAAGCTAATATCTGTCAACTGACAACTCGGACTGCCAATGTCTAAAAAAACAAACTAGAAGACCAAGTAAATGTGACAGAAGGCTGGTGTATCAGTTTGCCTGGCTGCATAACAAAATACCATAGACTGGGTGTCTTAAACCACAAAAGTTAATTTTCTCATGGTTCTCGATGCTATAAGCCTAAGGTGAAGGTTCCAGCAGACAGCCCCCTTCTCACTTTGGCTTCACGTGGCATCTTCTCAGTATGTGCACAAGCAGAGGATGCCGGTGGGGGCGCTCTGGTGTCTACTTATAAGGGCACCAACCCCATCAGATCAGGGCCTCACCTTATGACCTCATTTAACCTTCACTGCTGCCTTAGAGACCCCATCCCAAATATGGCCATACTGGTTGGGGGGGTGGGGTGGGGTGGTTAAGACTTCAACATAGGAATTTTGAAGGGACATAAACCTTAAGTCTGTAACTGTAGGTTACTCTCAAATTAACGCTGAGCTATAAAACCCCTAAGACAAAACTGCATCCACACATACCCCCCTCTCAAGACAATGTGAGAATAATCGCGTTGAATAATAGCTCAGAAAAAGTCAAAATATTCCACGCAAAAGGCAGAAGCTAAAAGGGCAAACTTTAGTATGATTGGCACAAAAATAAAGCTGAAAGTTGGAGCTGCATAAACAGAGGAATGAAACCCCAAATCACAAAATTTGAGGTTAAGTATGCTGAGACATGAGGTCACCCTGCTTCAAGAATTCCTCAAATCCAACAGTAAGGGAAGAGGAAATCTATGCAGAATTACAAATAAACTCAAAAGGTCACAGATGATCTCAAAAATACACCACAAGCGCAATATGGTATGGCCTGACTAGACGATGCCACGCTGCTGAGAATGTGTGTGTGGTCTTGCTGGCCAGACCGGCCAGCTGTAGTACAAAGGGCCCTGTTCTCATTACTTCCATACCTTTCACACTTGGAAAATTTCATTAAACAGAATGATGACAAATAGGGCCTTTATTATTTTAAATGTTTAATAAGGTTCTATTAAAGATGTCAGATTAAACACAGGCATTTGCTTCATTTCTTCTTAAAATCTCACTAAAATGACTGTAAAGGTATTTCTAAAAGATATGTAACTTATAAAAACAAAGAGGTCAGGAGAGGAGAAAACAGTAGCAAACTTTTAGAAGCTTAAAAGATGACAGATAAGCAATAACTGGCTTAGCAGACCCAAGAGAGCTGAATCCTAAACCAGCAAACAGAAAAATCTAAGATTCAACCCAATTTATGCTTCAGAATTCCCCAAAGGCCCCAAACTGGTAGCGCCAGTCACCCCTGGAAGTGGGGCAGAAGAGGCCCCAACTCACCCCCACCACCAAAAAAAAAGAGCCCAAAGATTGGTTTACATTCTGACTAAGAAATTGTTAGAATCTCAACTTGCTGACCCTCTGGACATACACACAGCTGAGCACCTACCCAACCCACCCACCCCACCCCCCAACAGAAGACAAGAGGTTTATTCTAGGAAGACAATAAAATAGAAAATCTATGGACTATGGGACAGCAGGTACAGCGGAGAACAGGGCTGTCACACTGAAAATGGGAGATCAGAACAGCCCTACTCCCTGCTTCCTGACGCTTGGTGGCCATGAAGACTTCTTGGGTTCCCTCAGGAAATGGCCCAGGTAGATTTCTCTAAGATAAAGTCAAGCCCAGTCTACACACTTAGGATTCTCAGTACTCTTTTTAGTCTCACACTTAAATATGAGCAGACAACTGACGATCATCTGAGGAAAACTTCTAACATGGAAGAGAGATAAAATAAACAAAAAGAAAAGAGTAACAGAGTAAACAGAGCCTAGGGTAGGGAGGAAATGACAAAATAAAAATCCAAACAACTAAACTAAAACAATTATCCTCAGAGAAATGAGAGATTACTGTATTCATTTAAAAAAGTTATACTATAAAAAGAAACACTCAAAGAATGAAAAAGACTTTAGATTTTAAAATTATGGAAATGAAAGATTCTTGAGAAAGTTAAGAAGTAAAATGTTAAACATTTCCTAGAATGTAGAGTAAAAAAGAAAGATAAAAAATAGGAGAGAAATATAAAAGAAAATTTAAGGACTGGCCCAAGAGACCCAATTTTTAAATAATAGGAGTTCCTGAAAGAAAGGAGAAGAAACAGGATAGAGGTACCTCAATGAA